TCTATGTGGCCGTGTCTCCTGATGACACCAGTCAAATTCACCACTCACTTTTTAATTGTATTTTAGATATAAAATCCTGGATGTCACAGAACTTTTTGCAGCTCAACCAGGACAAAACAACCAGGACAAAACAACCAGGACAAAACAGAGGTTTTAATCATCGGTTCAGAGAGAGAAACTGGCCCCCAAACTAAAAAAAAATAGGTCAAGTCAAGAAGCACGGAATCTTGGGGTGATCTTTGACTCAGATTTTAATTTTAAGGCCCACGTATAGGGTGTCACAAAGACAGCATTTTACCACCTGAAAAACATCGCCAAAAGTGAGGCCATTTGTCTCTCTGAGCCAAACAGAGAGACTAATGCACGCTTTTATTACTAGCAGGCTGGACTATTGTAACGCTCTCCTTTCTGTTCTTCCAAAAAACACAGCAAATCGGCTTCAGCTACTACAAAACTCTGCCGCACGAGTACTGACTAAGACCAGAAGGAGAGCACACATCACACCTGTTTTAAAATCTTTACACTGGTTGCCTGTTAGTTTTTGTGTTGATTTTAAAATTATTTTATTATTTTATAAAGCATTACATGGCCTTGCACCAGACTACCTGTCAGATATGATTTTAGCTTATGAACCAGTACGGCCCCTCAGATCCTCCAGTTCCTCTCTCTTAGTTGTTCCACAGAGCAGGACAAAAACCTTTGGCGATACTGCTTTCAGCTGTTATGCTCCGAGACTGTGGAACAACCTTCCTGAGGGTCTGAGAGGAGCCCAGAATATCGAGTTTTTTAAACGCAGTCTTAAAACTCATTTATTCAGTCTGGCTGAGTTATATCAATTCAAATCTTAACATTACTGTATTGTCTTTTTATCCTACTACAATTTTAAATATTTTCCTCTTATATATTTATTTTAATTTCTTGTTGCTTTTATGTGTTGTATTTTATTTTATTGTATTTTATTTTTATACATATATTTTATTTTTGTATTCTTATTGGTGTGCATTGGTCTCTCAATGATTTTATAAACTACTTTCTGTCAATAACTTTTCTGCACTCTTGTAAAGCACTTTGAACTGCAATTTAATTTGTCTGAAAGGTGCTATATAAATAAAGTTTGATTGATTGATTGATTTGAAACACACGTTTAGTTTTTCACAGGAAATAAAAAAACCTTTAACTTAATCTGGCTTTTTTTAAAAGGTGAAAACCACAAGGCACAAAATTGTAGATGTTGAAAAAAACCTCAAACTTTTATAAATCGTTTTGCACTTAGTTAACAGGACAAATATTTTTTTCATGTTTTAAATGAAGAATATTTCAAATAGTCTGTATGTCTCTTTCTTTAAAACTTGAAATGAAGTTTCTCTGTGTCTCTCATAATCTAAAAGCTTGACTGTGTGCCATGGTGTGCCCTTGGCTGACAGCGGCAGGATCAAAGTGTCTGTAGGGTTTGCATACTCCTGAATGATTGTGAAGTCTGTGAGTCCTCATCATTTATAAGATGCTCAACAGTACTTCAATAGTTGGGAAGCCTCACTGGTTACCTCCACATGTACTAATGAACACTTGAGACCCATTGTTTGTACATGAGAGACATGAAAGTCAACATGTTTATGTTCTACTTTATGGTGATATAAAAACTTCACCTCACATGCTCTCTGTTTGCACATACTGAATATGTTTGTGTTGCCTGTCACAGTAGAGGACTATGTTCCTCAGAAACAGCTCCCAGTGTTTCACACTGCTGCTTTTTATACTTTTAATCTCTCAATCTGATGAAAGGGCAAAACTCTTGATAATACGATTGGGTTTTCCATGTAGGGTAATGAATGAACTTTAGTTATTTGCTTGCTTTGCTCTCTATTTTAAGAGAGAAACAAAAGCCCAGCGCCCGTATTCACAAACATTCTGAGAATCTAAGCAAAGGTTTTTAGTCATTTAGGAACATTGTCAGGCTCTGAGCTCGGTAGAGACCGAAACTTTAATCTTAGGTCTAGTCCACACGTAGGTGTTTTTTTTTTTTTTGTTGTGGGTTTTGGTCTTTTGTAAAATACAAACAACGTTTTGGGTCACTGAAGACACAGCTTTTGTAAAACTCCTTCCAGGGTGAAGATTGTCAGAAACTCTCTTTAAAGTGTTTTTGGGTCATGCTGTGGGTCATGCTGTGCTCCGTTGGACATCATTGTGCGACGCTGTCACTTTTTGTTTACATGAGATTAGAACGACAGCAGACGTAAACAAGCTAGTGTTCACGCTATGTTGACGGGGCAGAGGCGCCTGAATGGACAACTTTGTAAAATGAAATGGTCATTGCAGAGGAATAGTGAGAACATTTCAGCCTGTCCAGGAAGTCGTCTTTGACTTAACGTGCTCATGAAAGCTGTGACAAAGATGTTTTTGGGAATTTAGGGTTTGTGGACAGGATTACTTTTTCTTAAGGTGGGAGGAAAACCTCCACTTTATAAAAATACCCGCCTACGTGTGGACTAGGCCTTAGTGAGGAGGTGTGCTATTTTTTCAGAAGCTGTGATTGGTTGATCCAAGAAAATGGAGGAAAAAAAGTCAGACATTGTGTAATTATGAACACTATGGAATGAACATATTTGTGATAATTTGTAAGACGTCTTTTAAAGTATATAGCCTACAACATGTTTGAAATCAGACGCTCACTGCTGCAGCAGCTTCTTCACATGCTTATAGTTACATCAGCAGGTAAAGGGTCTTAATTAGTTATTGGATACACCTGTGGAGGTGAGCACATGGAGACAAACTCAACATGCATGTCTTACTATTCACTGAAATAAATCATAGATGCAATGACATTTTTGCATAAATCATTTTTGTCTGTTTGGCGCAACTTTGAGTGAAAAAGATGAATGGTCATGTAGTGTTTGAAGAAATTTTCTCTGTTTTCTCCTCAGCTTGAGAAACTCTTCATCCTGTTAAAAGTCCTCCTCACTCCTCACAGTTTGTCACCTTATGAGCTCTCTTTAGGGCTAGAAGCTGTGTGAATAACTTTCATCTTTACAGGGATCTAGTCCTGACTTTAAGGGGAAGTTCTTAGAAAATGTCCTGATTCTTAGAATTTTCTTCACTTTTTTGTCACTAACAGCTTTTAGTACTTTGGAGGCTTTGTGAATACAGCCCCAGGTATAATTACCTTCCCGAAGGCAATTGTATTTAATGCATTCAGAGTTATACATATTGTTTGATTTGAAGTTCAAGGTCACATGAGATCATTCAACCTTATGTTTTTATACTGTTGATACAGTTGAGCATCTGTTTTTTCACAAGTGAATATTCAGTGGAGTAATAAGACTCATAAAGTGCATTAAGAGTATTTGACCTTAACCCTATAGGAACAACAGCTCAGTGCTTGTTTTGTTACACCTAAACCTGTTTGAAACTTGTGCTAAACTCATGCCTGTGGGGGGGAAGGAAGAAGCCTCGCAACATTATTCAGCATCCAAACATTCCTTCTTCTGGCTCATAGCTGCACAGCAGTCTAGTTTGTTTGGCCTCACCTGTCCTCTTTCTTTAATTAACCTACTTTTCTTTGTATTAGTCCTATATCGTCCACTTAAAATTATTCATATCTTTTTTATTTTCATTTCAGAATGCTACTATGCGTGCTGTTTGCTTCAAACGAAGATTTTAATTTGAGCTGAACTACACGTGCTGATGACTCTATCAGTAATTCTAATTCAACATAAAATCAACGTCTCACTCTATCTCTGTGTCATATGAGGAATATTCCTGGACGTCATTATTAGATTTGACATGAACACAAACTCTAAATATGAACTACAAACTCTTTTCTAAGCTCAGTTTGCGCTGCGTCCATGTTCAGAAACATGAACCTATACGTTTGTTTCTTTCTCTCACCAGTTTAAAGTTTCTGCAGCAGCTGCTGAAACACAGCTGCAGACAGAATCTGTCCTTCACTGCCCTCTATTGGCTGCTAGAAGGAATAACACAACAACGTGTTGGCATTTACAATAAAGCAAAAAATCAAGATGATAGCTCCCTTTAGTGGTGGCTTGTAGAGTAGCAAGAGTAGCAGTGCACTAAACAAATAACACGAAAGAATCATGAATCCTTTACAAAAATCCAAAGTGTTTGAACAAAGGCTTCTTCATTCAAGAGTTGTGGCTTCAGAGGCACATATAGTATATATAATATAAAGTGGACACCATGGGAATACATTCTAATCGATTTCATAGATCTGTGATGAACATTTTCTTCTTCTTATTATTAGAAGAATTGTTCAGGCCTTAACATCATATTTATTGAAAATGAATATTTGTTTTATTAATTCCTACAATAAACATGCTAGCTCACCAGATGCCTGTGTTATATTCTTCTATTCACAGAAGAATAAAGTTCCAAAGAAATGCAACATTTTAAAGTGTCAGGACTTCATATAAAGAAGTGAACCATTTAATGAAGTTCCTGAGACACTTAAAAATAGTTATTCATGGGGTGCTGGTATCCTAGTGCATGTCCCCCTTGTACGGAGGCCATAGTGGCTCCCCCCCCCCGCCTACCCCCTGATTTCGGACTCTATCCAATGTCCTGTCTCTAAATGAAGGCATACAAATCCCCAAAATGTGTTTAATAAAAAAAAAATATATATATATATATATTTACATCAAGGGACGCCTCCCTTTAGAGGTTTTCCAGGCACGCCCTGGGAACACCTCGGAATCCCCCAGGAGGAGCTGGAAAGCGTTGCTGGGGAGAGGGAAGTCTGGCTTGACTTACTGCACTTGCTGCCACCGCGACCCGATCTCGGATAAGCGGAAGAAAATTGATTTTTATTTATTTTAAAACACACAATTCATAAATATATTTTTGTCTTTACTTTTACAGAAAATGTTTTATTTTAATTCGTCATTGTGTTTTTTAATTGTTCATGTGTGCTTTGTGTCATGTTTTTGTGCTTTCCATGCACCCCAAACAATATTTTTTTGACCTAATCACAAATAAAAACTCAGCAGTCATATAGCATTCTTTATTCTGAAGTTTGTCTTCCAGAGATACAAAATACACATTTAAAAACATATAATACACACACAATGCATCAAACAGTGTCATATCCTCTGAAGTGACTGTACAAAAAGGCCCATGCTGCAAATGTCATACATCTCAGTATTAACATCTTTTATACAATAAGTGCTGTGTGGCTGGAACGTTGGAGTCGGTTTGCTGGTCGACAAACATGTGACCAGACTGAGGAAAGTCAGCGAAGAATACTACGTGTTTCTGGACTTAACTATGAGTGGACATGATCTAAATCCATGTGTGTGTCATCAGATTGATCTTCATCTGTGGTTACAACAACAGTCTCTGTGTGGTCAGTATCACACTGATTGTCCTTAAGACTAACATCTCTTTCAACAGAGTCTGCATGAGTTTCTCTTGTTGCTGTGTTTTGTTCATCCTGTAATTCAGAGTGAGTGTGTGTGTCCTCGCTGTGTCTGGTAATGTCACCTGCATGTTGGACAGGTAAGTGACTGTGCACTCTGTGTGCAGTGTCAAAGCTTTTCCCGTCTGTTTGCAAAGTGTCTGTGGAGCTGCTGGAGTCTGATATCTGCTCCTTAGCAGTGTCAAAGGATTCAGTCAAAATACTGTCACTGTATGAATGACTGGCCACGGTTTCCATCTCGGAGGCGTCAACGAACGGGCCGTCCACATCAGGAGGATCACCTTCAGCACCTTCTTTATCTGCAGTAAGTCCTGAAGTAGTGTCCATACATCTATCATCTGTGTTTCCATTGATTAGACAAGGTTTTGTAAATGAGTTTTCTTCATGTTTCTCATCTTCAGAAGTCAAAGGGAAACTGCTTCTTCTCTCTGTACATTCCACATCAGAGTCTGTTTCCTGTCTTTGGCCTGGCTCCGTGTCTGTAGCGTTTTCCACGTCTTCCCTTCCCACAGCAGCACCTTCCCCTCCAGCCAGAACTCTCTTCAGACTCCGGGCTCTGTCTCTGTAAACTTGGCACAGCTGAGCGTCGGGCATGTGGTTGCCGTGGATCTCGGCCAGCTTCATGTACACCACGTAAAGAGCCTCGGGGTTGGCCTGGTCCTCCATAGCTGCTGCGAGAGCCAACTGGAAGTATCCCACTGCATCGAACGCATCCTGGAGAGTGCACAGAGCAGAGTTTAAGAACAGGGATCATCCCAATTAAGTGTACTAGACTAAATAATGAACATTAAAAAGAAACATGAGCAGATGGTTCCCATGAGGAACAGCATTTACCTTCAGATTGTGCAGCGTAAGATTGCCCAGTCTGCAGTAGACCTTGGTGTAGAAGCGAGCCTCCATGGGGTGCTGCAGGACGAGTGGGCAGAGGGACAGCGACTTGAGGTAGTAGTTCTCAGCCATCTCATACTGCTGCAGGCTGTAGTAGACTGTAGCCAGCCGGTGGTAGGCTGTCCTCTCGTTCACAGACACAGCTTCAGAAATAAAACAAGTCATCATGCTGCAACTGCACGTTGGACATTGAAAAACTGATTCCACCAAAAGTACATGCTCATACTCTGCACCTGTTTTGTTGGCGATCTGAACAGCCAGTGTCGCGTACTGCAGGGCCTCCTCCTGCTCTCCCAGGTTCATTAACAGCTCCGTCAGTTTACTCAACAAACGGAACTCTGAGTCAATGTCCTTGATGCTCCGTGCAAATGGCAGACTGCCATCCTGACAACAAACATATGATAAAAGATCAGATGATAAAAAAATCAGGCTTGAAATTGTAGAATTGCAGATATAATATGAAAGTTGAGATTCTCATTTCCCACCCCCCCAAAAAATAAAAAGATAACCTGCAGAAAATAGATGAGTTTGTTGTTTTGAAACTTTCTTAAGACACAAACCAAAAGACACATTTGACAATAAGTGTTGTGCAGCTTTTAACAGTATGTGTTTCAACTCTCTGAGGGACTGCAGTCTGAAAGTAAACACTTCAATCTGTCACTGTTTGGCGAGTTACAAAATGCATCGCTATGCAAATCAAAGTTAGCTGTTAATTTAAGCAGGAAATGACACTTTTGTTTTCAAAACTTTGAATACAAATGCTTAACGATGACTTTGTATATGTGTGTACAACCGCCACTGAAATTAGATCATCAACATAAAGATCAGAAACTAAAACCAGCTAAATGAAAAACTTAAACAGCTGCATCCATCGTTGCCTGGCCCGAGAAGGCCGCTATACCTCTGGATGTACAGAGTCACAAAGCTGCCATGTGTCTTTCTCCAATTGCACTATAAAGAAACTACATCAGGTACTTTGTGTCGTCTCACCCTGTAGAAAGGAAGTGAAGCCATCCTGTTCCTGTGGCCTTTAAAGTAGACGTCTCCCGCCTCCTCGTAGATGCTCATGGCAAAGTGAGGATCTTTCATCCTGAGCGCTGTCTTCACTGCTGCCTGTCAAACACATGATGTCAAACAATATTGATTGAACAATGGCCGCTTGGGTGAGGATTTGATAAAGTTGTAACAAGGAACAAGGACTATACCAACCCAGAACAAATGACTGTTTGGCCAAGGTGCTCAAAGCAGAAAAAAGAATAATTGACTTACAGTAAATTGTTCAAGTCCCTCATGAAACCACTCTAACCCTAATTCTATACTGTAGACCTTTCTTCTCACCTGCAGATACATGTCAGCCAGCTCGTCCTCCAGGATGAGGTAATAGATGCGTCCCACCTGCAGCCACGTCTCTGATTCCTCTTCTCTCTTGCCCAAGTCAATAGAAATCCTCAGGCTCTGCTTAGTGTAGTCCAGAGATTTACGGGATGATCTGTGAACCACGATACAGAGGTGAGAAGAGAAAAAAAAGAGTTATTATAGAAATATGGACGGGGAATAAGAAAGAGTGGGACATGGAGGCAGAGACTGACTTCTCAGTGTTGAGAGAGAGGTAGAGGCTGCTGAGGATTTCCAGATACTCCCCCTCCAGCCTCTTGTCCTTCAGCTCTCTGGACACAGACACACAGTGCTCGTAGTAGACGATGCTCTGACCGTACAGCATTATGTCATTATACAGCCGACTCAGCACTTTGGCCACCACCATCTGACCTGGGAGAGAATACAGCGGATAGAAATACTGTCATACATGTATGCTTTTTCAGAAAGTAGGGTAAAATATTCAATGTGCATTGGCATGGCTAATACTGTTGGGTAATTGCAGCTTAGCAAAGATTTACTGGCAATGATGTTAGAATAAAAAAACACACATATGATATATTTGTTGACAGTATGACTACTGCTGTTTGAAAGCCCCTCACTTCCTTATACTACTTCTACTTCCTTATTCCACCAAAATACCAAATCAAATTCCTTGTGTTTGTAAAAATATTTGGCAATAAACTTGTTTACAAACATAATTGTCTTTACATAATGAATCCACCAGGGGGAACTTGGAAGAATGGTTAGGCTCTAATCACGGCAAACCTCTCAGACTTTTGTAACTTAATCAACATGCTAGCAGCCGAAAGCCGAAAATCCAGTTCTGGTCATTTAAATAAGTTTGATTAGAAGAAATGAAAATCTTTTTTTTAGCAGTATTGTTTTGTAGTTATTAATTGAAGATTATTCTATTTGAAACATTTAAAAGAATACGACAATGTTTTGAGAATTGAGCTAAGTCGCACTTTTGTCCAAGAGTAACATGAAAGACTGACGACCACACTCATGCCACAGTCGAGCTGCCAGTTAGCTTAGCATTGCCTGAAGACTGAAATAAAAGGGAGAGCAGCTAGCCTGAATCTGCACTAAATAACAACTTGTGGTTTTAGCTCTTTAACTTTTTGTTTGGATTAAAAATACGCAGATAAAACATGTTGATAACTAAATGGCCTGAAGCTTTGTTTGGACCATGTGAGAAAGTTGGATCCACCATTATTCCTCCTTTTCCAATCTTTGAGCTATTAGCTAGCTACCTGTAGTTAGCATGTGGTAATATAAGAGCTGATGTTCTCTTTTCTTCAGGAAAATGAAAAACTATTCTTTTCAACCTGTTAATGTGTACTCACTGTGTAAATTTCTGGAATGCAGTGCAATTAGTAGCCCCATTTCATAACAAGCCCTGATGTCCTGACTCCTCCCTCTATCTTTGTAGCTCCGCCCCAGCCAAAGGTAGGTTTGAACATGCTCTTCATCTGTGGGGCTTTCACCGAGATCCATGAAAAGATGAAGGGATCTGATGAAAACAATGAATCAAGATGAATAACTTTCAATTTAAAAAAAAAATACAAAATGTCATAAGTTTCCTTTGGTGGAAAATGTTCAGTGAGAAGACAAATATCTGACCTGACCAGGAAGCGTTCTGCTAACAAAGACGCCCCCACATCCAGAGCCAAGCAGCCTAGGTTGGCCAGTGCTAGCGCCTGGTTCCTCTGGTTTCCACTCTCTCTGGAGATTACCAAAGCAGAGTGGAGATTCCTGCCTGCCTCTCGGATACAACCCTGCCGCCTCAGGCACAGAGCCAAGAGGTTGTGGATCACGCCTCGCTGCGTTGGACTGTCTGTGCCCTGGAGAAGCACAGATTTCAAATTAACATACGCAGGATGTTAAAGCAAGCTCAGCTACTGAAAGTGGATGATTTATCAAGGTGAATAGCATTGTGTTCTCTTTACCTGTAGGGATGTGAGCAGTGGCTGCAGGACACTCTGAGCCCGCTCAGCCTGCCCGGTCAACACCAGCAGCCATCCGAGCAGCACAGACGCCTCAAACCCCTCCTCCTCGATGATGTGTCCTCCAGTTTCAACAGCCTGCTGAGCACAGTGAACGGCTTTATCCAGAGCATCATACTGCTGATAGACTGAAGCCAAGCCCAGGCACAGGTCCCTCTGCGTCTTCATGTCCTCTCCTTGCTCAGCTATAGCCAGAGCCTGCTGCAGGTAAACCACAATCTGAACAGGGAGCAGGGAGGTTCCTTCCTTCCAGCAGGGGTTCAGGCGTACAGAGTTTCTGATAAACAACTCGATCCTCTGGAAGTGATCTTGGAGGGAGTGGTCTTGTCTCGAGTCCAGGCTTAGGGAGGCTAGCACTAAGTAAGGCATGTATTTACGATGATAGAGCCAGCTTAAGAGCCAGTTGAGGTCGAGGAGAACTATCGGAGGCTCCTCAGCCGCCAGGAGAGTCACCGAGAGGAACTGGAGCCGCTCCACAAAGGGAAGAGCTTCATCAGTCTTTTTAAGAAGCAGCAAGAGGCTGGAGATGAGGTAGCAGACACGAGCCTCCAGGTGTTTGTCTCCCATCACCACCGATCGCCTCAGGAGCAGATTGAGCAGCTCAGCCTCATCCATGGAGGTGAAGGTGTGGCAGGGCAGGCAGAGGAGCAGAGCGCTCGCCTTCTCCAGAGTCTGAGGCAGCTTGTCAGTCATTTTCTGCTTCAGGTAGACCGCAGTGAGGTTTGTGAAGAGAGCGACCAGGAGGGGAGTGTCAGAGAAACTGTCCACCTGAACACTCAGGGACTCCTCATAGTACACACGAGCCTGAGGAGAGAACAAACACACTTAACATCGACTATCTAATAATGTTATGATGGACATTTCAGATTCTTCACACACAATCTGCATATTATACAATTTATTATAATAGGTGAGTTAATGATAATAAATTCAGTAATACTAAACCCAGAACACAAAATGTATATTCTTATCATACATTCCTCTAAGTGGGTTTATTTGAACAAAACACTAGGTTTTGTGGGCAATTTCCTCCTTGTTTTTTTTTGTTTAAATTAAAGCTAGGTTTCCTTTTAGCATTAGCGTAAAAAAGAAAAGAACAAGAGTACTGTTTTCAGGCACAATGACCTGCATCTTAAAGAGCGGGAAAAAGGAACAGACTCTTCTATGACACATCATCTGTTGTGCAAAGTTTTTAAAAAGTTTTTTATATATATAAAGACTTTATTAATCCCTGAGGGGAAATTCTGTTTTACACTCTGTTATTTAGAGACATGCTTCTCACACACATATAGGCACTAATCACACACATGCACAAACAGGACCTGTGGACATGCATTAGTGGAGAGATTCAGAGTGGGGCTGCTACACACTGCTATGCAGAGAGTGCATCAGAGCAGTTGGGGGTTCAGTGCCTTGCTCAAGGACACCTCGGCAGTGCTCAGGAAAGTGCCCTGTCACCTCTCCAGCTACCAGACCAACTTCCATTTTATGGTCTGCACCTGGTCTTGAACCGGCGACCCTCCGATTTACAACCCAAATCCCTACGGACTGACTAGCATTTTCAGCTACTAAAGATCAGCATCATTTTGCCTGTTACAGTCATCATCAGACAATAATGAAGTCAGATGTCACTACAGATTGAAATAGTAAAATCTCCATTTTTAAGTCAGAGGTCAGAGAAGATATACAATATTTCAAGTACAGCTTTGCAAATTTAAGATATATTAGGGTCATCTTTCAAAGGATGCTGCCAACACATGCATGCAGGCTTTTATTTGTCCCCCTGGGATTAATAAAGTATTTCTGATTCTGATATGTCTTATTTATCACATGTTGGGGGGAAACAGTCATTAAACCACTGGAGTCTCTCTGTAATCAAACCTTAAAAGGTGTTAATAAAACTATGCACTACCAACATTATAATGACATCCTTGTTAGTTCTAGTGAAGATGTTTGGTTGTTACCTAGAGAAGAATGGAGCCCGTTTGCATGCCAACAACCTTCATATGAATGCTGGAAATAAAAGACAAACCTGTGACAACTTTAACTTCCTGGCACAGAGTCTTCCCAGTAGGAAGCATGCCCGTCGATGTGCCCAGTGCATGCCCATTCTCTTAGCGCCCTCCCTGACGCTCTCTAGGTGCCCTGAGAGCTCGTCCTCAGTCTTCCCGCTGAAGGTCGCCCACAGGAAGGAGTAGTGCAGGTCGTACAGGGGCAGGAAGTCCTCCTGAGGAAAGAAGAAACAAAAGATTTGGCACGTCTGCTTCAACTTTTAAACTTTAGTTTACATAAAGGAATGTGTTGAGGTAGTAGTTGTGTTATCATTTCATGAAACAGTAAAGTAATGCTAAGATCTGGAGTTTCATTTCTGGTGGCCTAAACTATCCCTTTTTTGACAAACTGAAAACATTGACACCATTAAAATTATTTCAACCTGTTCTACCCAAGGAAGTCAGAGAAAAAAGCTTCTGTTCTTAGTAATCAATGATTAAACCGGGTCTCTTCTGACCTGAAAGTGTTCCTGGTTGAGCAGGGTCAATGTGGGGTCACTGGGCTCAGAGTCGTCCCCCTCCCAGCTGTTGTCTTCTAAGAAGAGAGGTGGGTCTTCCTGGAACTCGTCCATTTCCCTGAATGTGTCGTCCAGAGTGAAGGACAGGTGCTCTCCCTCCTGTGGCAGAGGATTGTGGGAATGATAGAGGGACAGACGAGGATGGGACTGAGAGACGGAGGTGCGGGGGGAGGAGTGGTACGGGGGCGTCCCTCCACTTGCTTCTGACATGACACTCAGACGAGTGCTTGTGGAGACTTTGTGATCTGAGAAAGAGTCAGATACAGTAAGTTGTCTTTTAAGCCCATTAACATCTGATTTCTCAATAAACTATAAACCATTACCATGTTTTGGCCGATTTCTGATGTACATGAAGTCAGTCTCATCCAGTCTGTCTGGAAACACACAAGGTAAAACAATTACAGTCTCAGTTTTCCAGCTCAAGATGGAAACATACTTTTTTTCCAAGAACAACAAAGTTCAACTATTTAGGAAAAGGCTCGGCACATGAAACTAAACATGACCTACATTTCAGTTATGACTCCTAACTGACAAACGATACAAATATCTCTATATCAGCCCCGTGGTCCGTTACCTAGCCTGTACACAGAGCTGATGTCAGATGAGAAGAGCCTCTCCAGCAGGCTGCTGTCACTTGGCTCCGAGCTGCAGGGGTTAACCTGAGCCAGGCCGGCCCGCTCCTCCTCAGTCAGAAAGACCAATTGTCTGTCTCTGTGTGGGCAAAACAAAGGCAGCATTATCTCGTCAGCTGTCTACAGCCTCCTCACCACATCCACCCTGCAAAAAACACTAAATCAGATTTCATAACAGCTCATCACAAAACTATAAACAAGAGGTGACTCTGGGATGTGATCAAGATAAAGAGCATTACAAGTTCAAGTGACACACATCATTAGGTCTGTAAGTTCAAGCCACACCTTAGACAACACAACATGAAAAGCTGAATTTCTTACAGGGGTTTGATGTCCAGAGGTTTGACATGGGCCTTGTGTACAAAGCCAGTGTGACCAGTGGAAGTGTGTGTTCCTATAAAGACGCCCAGTCCTCGGACTAGCAGACCCTGGATCTCCACAATATCACCTTGACTTAGCTGAAGCTCATCTGGGCCCACTGGACTGTAGTCAACCACGGCTACACAGGAACCCGTCACTGAGAACAACAGAACAAGACACAGACATATAAACTATACATAAACAAAGTCTGATTATAAAACTGATCACACAAAATAATAGAACTGCAAAGCTTATTTGATGCAGTTTTTTATATATTCTGCAAAGGTGTTTGACAGGATATAAAAGGTGAAAAACTCTCATTCACAAGGTGCATACCGAGCATGCTTGGACGAGCATAAACCTCAGAATATAAACATTGACCAACTGCAAGCTGTGCACTGCCCAATGTTCTGGTCAGCAGAGAGTGAAACAGCTAGATTTAATCCTGAAAAACTGTTAAATGACCGATTTAACATACACAATATGTAACTCTCAATATTTAAATTTGTCTTAATGTATTTCCTGATGTTTGTGAGGAACTTCCCTTTATCTCATTCATCCAGGGATTTAACCCTGTTCAGTTGACCTCAGCATTTAGCATTAGTTACTATCATAGGTCATGAAGAAGGATGAAAGTCATTTGACTGTGAATAAGAGATGAAAGTACAATACATACAACCACCAACGGGGGGGGGGTCATTGTATTTAAAGAGACACACAACCCAAAATGGAGCGTTCTGAGAGAGCTGGTTTATACAGGGTCACAAACCTCCTCTGGTGCTTGATTCATGTTATATTTTGACCAAAGCACAGCACAGATGTGCATTGAACTTACCTATAGAGTCCTCAAACGGTTCCTTTTCTGTTGGTGTGCAACCAACATTGCCTGGGTACTTCCTCAGGAACCACCTGACCAAACAAGAATTTAGATTCATAAAAACGTGGGAACTTAAATACATCATTGCTAGCAATAATCTGTGTATTTAAACAACAGTAAAAGAATGCTGTTCCTCTCATTGCATATAAAAGCATCTGTAACAGAATTTGAGGAACACACAGGGACTCACTGATAGAAAGGGTAAGGCAGAGGTTGCATGGCGTTGACTGGCACAAGTCCGTGGTTTCCTGTGGAGAGCATAAAGCCCTCCCACATGTTGTCCTGCCCCGTGTCCCTCACCATCAGCAAGTCATTCTTTATGAACGACAGCTGCTCTTCGTCATCCTCATCCTGATCACTCCTTGTGAAAAGTGCCTTAGCAAAGAAGGATCCTGCAAAGAAATCAGTGTATTAGTTGACAAATTCAAGCATAGCAACTCCATAGCCAAACATGTAGAGACAAACTAAGTAAGTAAAGTGTGCATCCAGACATGCAGAGTGACTCAGTCAGCGTTTTTGTTTTGGTAAAAATCAACACACTTAAGTTTAAGATCAGCAGAATTGCTACGGCTAGTGCGCCCTCATTCAGTCACTGGAAAATGATGGATGTTTTATTTCCCCCTCTATTACGTTAATGTAATTCTCATCACTATTTGCCAGCGCTGCAGTACCATTATGTAATTCCATGTAGCTTTCTGCCTGGGGGAAATGTCTAGTAGAAAGTAGAGTATACTTAGCTAGGGGAAATCAATATGCATTCCTGGAGGGAAGTGCAACATTCATTTTGCTTTAGCAGAGTATTTTATGAAGCATAACATTTTGACCAATGTGCGTAAAATCAGTGACATCCAAGTCCTACTTAATTCACTTTTAGGAGGAGTAAATTGACATTTATGGCCCTAAATAGACATGGGATTATAATTCTGACTTGTAATTATAAGTCCATTAAACTTAGTGGCTGTGTACAGTGACGCACATGAGCTCTTCTTATGGAAATAAAGAGTCTACTGCTCTGATTTGTTCAGTCATTTGGCAGCTTATTCCTCCGGCTGTCACAGTGTTAATTGGGGTCAGTGAAAGGGGATTAAAAGTAGTAGGAACAAATGGAGGCTGCCATTTGCTGCTATATAATTAAACAGACAAAATCCAAGCAATCCAGGCTTTAAACATTCTAACTATCAATCGAGGATAACATACTACATTTTGTATTTGAAGGATATGAAGATAAAGTAAAATAACTGTAGTCATATGCCTCAACGAGCCCTTACTGACCCTCCTGGAGTAACAGGCCCAGGTAGAGGGTGGCCAGATGTTCCTCGTCCACAGTGACATTTATCTCCAGGTCACTGAGCAGCTCGGGGTCCAGCCACACGGACTGATCACACAGGAAGTTCTCCAAGCAACGAGCCACATAACCTGTGATGTAGAACACACGCAACCTTTACTCTTCATGCTAACATCACCGCATCCTCAACACCAAAACCTTATCATCCAAATGTGATGCAAATTGGAGTTACAGTAAGCCAATACATGCATTAATAGGAAGATGAAAACTAGAGCCATTCATGTGTCTGTGACGTTATGGTCTATGTAAAACAGAGTCCTTGATGATAGTTAGGACGGTGTGTCTTCATGTTAAAATTGACTTGAATTTGTTTCTCTTTCTCTTAAATTTCATAGACTATAGCCACTGTTCTTGTCTTTGTTTGTTGGCCAGAATAACCCCTTAACTTCAGTGGAGATTCTGAAGTCTGTTGGGGCTCTAAGCAAAGATCACTAGGGGTCCATCCAAATCGCCATTATGTTAATCAATCTAATCAGAGACCAAGTGACTTGAATTGACAAACTTTAGTTTTCACAGGAATATTGAGAACCTTAGCAGTGCATTAACAGTGAGTGCTGTCAGATGGAGCCCCCGTAAAGAGGTTTCCTACTGTCATTGTAAAATTTGCACAGTTTGAGCCACTGCCCCAATCAGTTGCTTGCCTTGCCTGTTGACAAGCAGCATCTCTGCTTAACTTGCAGAGAACAGAGAAAAACAGTGTATTTCTTACCCCGGTAGAGTCTAGTGGAACCAGTGTTTATTTTTGCCCTATTTCTGCCTTTACCTTTATCTGATTCCAAGTATATAATTCTACAATTCATTTAGCTGATGCATTTATCCAAAAGTGGACAACATCAGAGAGTAAGTACAACACAAGCAAGAATCTAGAGAGGAGAAAACAACGTCAGTAAGTTCAGACAAACAGCTTTAAGTCTGATCAGACACACAGGTGCTGACAGGAAGTGACCAGAGGCAAAGCATTTATTTTTTTCAAATAGTAAAGTTAATATATCACCATCAACAACATCAACAGCTGTTCTTGAGAGTTCTAATATGCATCAATACCATCCCACATATCATCATCATCCTCAATATCTTGAAGGTTGCAGGTGTTCATAATAGAGTTGGATCTTTAGCTTTTTCTTAAAGGTGCAAAGGGACCTCAGATGAAATGGAAGCTAGTTGTTGTTGATAGTTTTGATTCAGGAGACAATGACTGAATCCTGATTGATGCCAAAATTAAATTGATTTTTTTCACACAAAGAATACACACACTTCTTTTTTAAATAACATAGAAAACACCCAAAAAATTAAAATGACTTTATTCAGAAGTTAGAACGAAATGACGTATTCATGTTGAAACCAATCAAGAATATAATTAAAAATATTCAGAGTGTCTTACCTAAAGCTAGGTATGTTGAAAACTTCCAGATCTCCTCGACAGTCTTGAATGTGAGTACGAAGCTGTCCTTCTCAGCATGGACAGACACCAGACGTGCAGACAAGTCCTGCAGAAACAAAGTTTTATGTTTCATTAACAAAACATCGTCCATGTGCCTTAAAGTGCACCGTATATCTATATCATTTAACAAAATATATTCAATTATCTGGACCCTTAATGCACCTTGTGTTTCCTTTATAAAGGTCTGAGTAGTGCATCAATGCCTCTGCAACGTCTGGGCTGTCAGCTCTGACTGTCACTCACTTTAAAGAGTTGGATGACGTCCTGGCTGTTACTCTCCACCACTCGCAGTCGGGTACGCAGTGCCTCCTGTAGCGCCCGGTCAGGATCCACACTGGAGCGCCTCCGCCCAGTAAACAACAGCACAATTTCTAGACAAAAGACAAGAAGAATGCTATGATAAATCACTCTTAGGTTCAGTTGCTGTAGATTAATAAGGATTTATCTAATCCAATGCAAATGAGCTAAAAAGAAAGATTTGACAGTAGCTTAGAGCGGACTTGGCATCCATTGTCTGCCAAAATGAACCAGCGAATAAATGGACAAATAATTCATTTATAATCCTTCTGCTAATTCATCACACTTGATCCAATAAGTTGTATTTGTCTGTCTGTAGTCAGTGATTAAATAAATACTAAAACTGCAATGAAAGGGCCTGATCTTATGCAAAACTTTCAAGAGTTCATTAAAGATTTTCTCCTAGAGCTCATATTTCAGTGAGACGCTCTGTGAGCACAACCTAAGTCCCCAGACTTAGCGAGGCAAAGCCATTACGGCCTCTTATTGGACTCTTAGTGTGGCCTTTTAAATCCATTCGAGAGGAAGAACCTGGGGAAGTGTGATAGATGGAGCCAAACTGCTGACTGAGTAAAACAATAGTAGACGGGGAATTCTGCCTCATCAGTATGCATGCATATAATATGCACAAGAAATGCTTCTCTGTGTAAAAGACAACTAGTCCAGACTGGTTAACGTGCAAACTTAACTTTCAGTAGTAATACACGTCAGGTAATGGAGGAAAAGATCATCAAAGGTACCTGAGGAGAATTTCTCTCCCAGCGACACTTTACTTCCTCTAAGGAAGGCCTCTTTCTTCTTCCAGTAGCTGTCAGTCTCCACTCCTCCATCAGCCGACTCCACCAGAGGACCATCCTCCTCTTCCCCTGAACCTGGAAGACGACACAAAGTCAGGACGAAGTGTTGGATTAAGATGAGATGGTCATGATTGATCTGATGTTGCACCAAAAGGAGATTATAAATGACTTTTCGTTCTTTTTTTTTCAAGGGCAGAAAACTAAATCAAGCATTTTTTAAACCACTGTTTCTAAAACATTTTATTGTATTTTGGGATTTCTGTGTGATAAAGACAGGTGTGTATATGTGGAAAGAACTGAATCAAAAGGGTCAAAAGGTTGCTTTAAATCAAGCTGCTATCACAATGTGCATCCCTGCTGCTGACACAGGATGATAACCACTGTCTTGATGATTAAGGAGATTAGTCTTAGTTGTGATTTAAAGATTTGTGAACTAAAGCAGGGAGCTCACAACCTTTCTAGACTAAGTACCTCAAATATCCCTTCACTGACATCACTCAACATATTCTTAATGTGTTGTATTTAAGTCTTAACGAGCAGTGTGTTAATTCACAAACCCCTTCATATTTCTTTCACTGCTAAATTAAAATCTCTCGTCTCACCATCTGAGTTCGAGATGCTAATTCGTGCTCTTGTATCTTCCTGGCTTGAGTATAGCAATTCCAATTTCACCAGCCTCAACATGTCCCCCCCTTGACCGTTTACAAATTATTCAAAATGCTGCTGTCAGATTGTTAAGTAGGTCCAGCAAGGTTACTCATATTACAGCTATCTTATTGTCTCTGCATTGACTTCCAGTGAATTCCCGGATACATTTAAAGATCCTTGATTTTGACCCTCCATGATCAGGCACCTCTGACCTGCTCCATCCCTACATCCCCCCTCAAGTCTTCTGACCAGGGTTGTTGTCCCTCGTGTCCAACTGAAAACCAAAGGTGATCATGCCTTTGAATATATCCAACACTTTGAAACTCCCTTCATATGCACATATAATCTGCAGCTTCTTTGCTTAAAAAAAGCAGCTCCAGACCTTTTCAAACTGTCTTTTGACAATCGTTAATCTGGATGTATGTGATGTTATTTTTTACAAATGTAGTTTTTCTGTGTTCTTTTATGATTTTTACTGTTTTAAATACTGTTATGTTAAATACAGTATTTTGTGGAGGGCTAGTGCCCTCGCTCTAGTGAAAGGTGCAATACCAAATAAACTTTTCTTACTTACTCATTTAATGTAATCATAAACTGGATGTTATTTTACAGTTGTTAGTTATGTTTAAGTATAGCACATTTCATTCACCAAACCAGCAATTTAAAGTGAGTACAAAAAAAGGGGAAACCCTGCAATAAAAATGCCAATTGAAAGAACAGAAATGAATACATTTAAAAACAGAGTCTGCTTACAGGAAAGGGTAAGGATGGTTCATGGTGATTATTAAAGAGTGATAGTCAGTGAAGACCATACAAGTTTATAACCTGATTTCAAAGCTGGGTCAAAGTTAACACGTTTAATGTCTTCTAGGAGTGTCTGTGGTGCAAAGTTATTAAATGCTGCTTCTCCAAGTTTTGTTTCTCTCTGAGGTCATACTGTGACAGACCTGATGATCTGAGGGACCCAGTGGGCTCAAATGGTAAAAGACAATCAAAGCTGATATTTTGGTGCTTAGCTGTAGGACCTGTACATTAAGCTTGCTATTTTAACCCAGTACCCGTACTCTCATTTTTTCCTGAATAACCGTGCACTCAAAACTTCAAATATTCATCAAAGCTCTTTAACCATGTAGGGAAAAAAGTAGGTAATTATTTCAGCTGTTTATCTCACATTAATACACATGCGGATAATTTATTACTGATAGCTGTTCAAATTATCAATGCAATTAAAACTGAAGTGTACTTCTGAATTATTTTTTTTTTTAACTAAAAATAATTTCACCAAACCCATTTTTTTACTCTGTACATGTAAATACCTACTTGACTGAAACCATTTACTAAACATTTACAGTAAGTTATCTTTATAATGGCACATACGCAATAGTTTAGTGACCTTTTAATATCAGCCAGATGGATTCATAAAACAGCAGTAAAGTGGTGACGGGCTTCCCCTGGTTTGTTCCATTGTGCAGGGAGGATGTCCCCAACATTTCCTCCGTGTGTGACCACACAGGCAGCAGCACAGCTCTCTTAACAACTAGCATGATGTTGTTTGCCCTCCAAACTTACAAAGCACTCATGATAATAGATTATAGATTGATAAAGACAAAGTAGTCTACCTTGAGTCATGATGTCATTTCCTGAGAAGTGTTCACCCCCAAGAGTGTATGGAGGTTCCCTCCAAAGAGCATCCAGCTCAGCAGGAGAGATGTCTGATGAAAGGTGAACACATCAGTTCATGGATTAGAAAACAATGTCTCCTTGTCCCCTTTAAGATGACTTTTAATCAAAGGTTATCACCAACTTCTCAAACAGTTTGTTTAATCCAGCTCTGTCTTCACTTTCACATACTATTTCAGAACATTATAATGTATATAATGTTTGTCATTTTGAGCAATGAACTCATCAAGAGTTGAATGAGATTGATATGCCTTGAATGTGTGTTTGATAAAGAGAAAAAAGATGGACCTAGCCACTGGTTAGCTTAGCAAAAGACCAGGAACATGGGAAATAGCTAGCCTGGCTCTGCCTGCATTTTTTTTTTTGAAGAGTCAAGCAGCATTTTAAACCCTTCAAATTAACCTTAGTGATTAAAGTATTAAAACTAAATCAGGAAATGTGGGTCATGTGCCAGACTATTATCTTAGCTGAGAGGTGATGAAGGGAACCAGCAGAGACTCATTTAAGTCTACTTCTAGCTACTTCTAGGTTAGGCTACTGATGTAGGCACTTTTTTCTTGGATTTTTGTGAACACAACACAAAAAGTACAGTGCTTAAGATGTGCTTGTTTGACTTGATGGCACTCTAGCCGTAGTTTTTAGCTTATTTAAGCTAGCTGTAGTTTTTAGCTAACTTTCCACTGGAAGCAGTTGCACTCTACAAACTTGAAAGTGGTATCAGTCATCTCATCTCTGCAGAAGGCAAAATAAGAATATGTCACAAAAGGTTAAAAAAATCAAATCAAATCCCCAGGCTAGGGGAGAGTTAATGTCGCGGGGTTGGGGGTGTTCAAACAGTGAACATTAAAATGGTTAAGTTGAAGCCATTGGTTATTGAGGGAGTTATAAGGGGGGTTCAGGGGCAATACAGTGAACGTTGAACAGACACACACACAGCTGCACTGACATCAGAACAGCCTCAGGGCTCACACAGCTGCCCTGCCCCTGACTCCTCTACTTCCATGTCAGCACAGACACATGTTTTCAGACAGTCAGACACCACTTCAAATCAACAAGGAAGATACTGGGGACCAAATGGTAACAAAAAAAGTTATAAGTTTGATTAAAGCACACATCTTGTCGTCCATGCTTTGTCAGTGCAACAACATAGAAAAACAGTATTATCTTGTTGCAAAGCATTTCACAACAGCACAATAGGGCACACAACTTAGAAACACAATGCAATATGACATTAGGCCAAAGAGAACAAAAGCCTTTTCTTCATCCTACAACACTGAGCACAGTTAGCACTAACAGACTAACAGGTCTGCTTGAGTCGACACAAGCGTAGTCATGCTGGTACAAAAACAAAAACACTCCATGCCCTTTTTTACCTTCATGGCTAAGTGTGTTACCCATATTGTGTCTACACCTACGCTCCAGTCTATCTGAATGTATCGGTCCGTCTCATGACGGTGCAGAAGTAGTAGTAGCACAGAGTGGGCTGGGACAGACCTGTGAAGGAGGAGAGGCAGACTTTGATGAAGGGTCCACAGCAGCACGAGTTGAGCAGCGGTCTGCAGCAACAAGACGCCATCTGGCTCAGGAGCCGGCAACTCCCAGAGATCAATGCCATCCCATCAGTTCCCCCCCAAAAAACCTCTTTAACAACAACTCACTCTCTTCCTCTCTGCTGGACAAGCCCTGTTTCCCTTCCTATTTCTGTAGTCTCTTTCCTGCCTCTCTCTCTCTCTCTTTACACCACCAACTCTTTTACAGGATGTGTCTCACGTGTCCCTCTGAAGGCTTTATCTCTTCTTCTTCTTCTCTATCTGTCTGGGACTGCTGCTCTTTTTAATCCTTCTGTCTATTGCTGTCTCCATCTCCCCCCTCCTATCAGCCTCTCGCTCTCTCTCTCTCTCTCTCTCTCTCTCTCTCTCTCTCTCTCTCTCTCTCTCTGTCTCTCTCCAGTCTCTGCCCAGTCAGTCAGTGAATGCACAAAGCACTCTCTGCGATTGGTATGAGTGTGTGTGTGTGTGTGTGGGGGGGGGGGCATAGGCCTCCTTGAGAATATAGTATGTGTGTGTGAAAATATGCACAGAATGTGTGCCACCAAGACAATGAATGCATCTCTTTTGTGTGTGTTGCTGGTAGGATGGTTTGCTGAGCCACTGTAAGGCAATGCCACACAGGGACAGGCTGCAAGGTCACAGCGAGGGGGGAAGAGAGTGGCCCAGTGGCATGGATCGAGGATCACTTTATACACAACACACAGTACAACACAACTATGCTCCCTGCCATCAGAGGGATGAAGGACGGATGATATGACATGCACAGACACTGATAACACCATCCTGCACCACCAGGTCACCGTTAAGTTTACAATGATGATCTGATAATAGATATGGAGGAGGTCCATCAAGGTTTTGATTATTCAAGGAAAGGTCAGGAACATTGACCTCTTGTGAACCATAGCATATGAGGGATAGATAGGTGATAATGGAGATTCAATGAGTGCATTTTTTAGACTGCAAAACCATTGGGACCTGTGTTATTGGCTTGAAATGACTGGCCCATTGCATACAATTATAATAATATGTGAAAGTTGTGTTTGCTGTGTTGTTCTCAATTTGTTTTACTTACAAGGCTACAAAATTTGAAGTTCAATCTGAGGTAAAGTAAATATCTGCCAAAAAAAAAAAAGGCAGCTATAGATAAAGGCAATTAAATCAAAAGAACAGCATGCCTTACCATGACATGTTAAGGGAACACTGTGTACTCAAAGAGAAGGTTTGTCATAGGATAAGATGTGTGGAAGGATCCCAAGAAGGAACTGAAATGCTGTACCTAATCTTTCAAATTCCTCTGCGTCATATAGTGCCACAAATGTGAAATTACATTCTAAAATAATACTGTTAAAGGCTAGTGCAACAATAGCTTATAGCCTTACTGTCACTCGTCGTTATTTATGCAACAATATCAAATACATATTGAGCTTCTAAAAAAATTCAATTTAAAGAAAAATATTTTTTTTAGTTATCACTGTAACTTTAATGGTTTTTCCTAAAACCATGACTTCATTTGATAAGTGTACAAGTTACTGATGATAACATAAACTGGTAAAGTGTTGTGTTAAGTGACACCTCTAGAACTGTACAGCTGATAGAAACTAGAGAATATGTTGTTTTTGTCTTTTTCAGATCAGTCTTTAAAAGGGGTACTGCAGAGATTTAGTAGTGCACTTCTTTAAAGCTATTTGTTAGAGAAACAACAGAAAATAAAAAACAACGGTGAATTTAAAAGATAGTGGGGACAGATGTCCTGGACAGGTACACGTTTCCCATGATGCAACCTGTTTGCATATTTTACCTGCATGCAATTTCCAAAACTTTTTTTTCAAGGTTTATTTTTGGGCTTTTTGTAACTTTATTGTAGAGATAGGATAGTGGATAGAGATAGGAAATCAGGGACACAGGTAGTGGGCAATGACATTGGAGAAAGGAGCCACAGGTTGGATTTTAACCCAGGCCGCCCGCTTCAAGGACCATAGCCTCTGTACATGTGACGCGCACCCTAACCACTCTGCGACCGGCACCTAAAAAAATTCCAAATCTTTGTAACTTCACATCCCATGTTTTTATACAGCCATCTTAAAACTGGAGGTCATTCAAGAGATTTTTCACTTTGGGAGGATTTCACTTTTTATGCTCACTATACACGTGACAAAACACAAAGCTCTGAATACTTTAAGAAAAGTGATGTCTCTTCCATGACCAGTAATTGCATGAGGGTGAACCAACTAACTGGATGTGGTCATTTGATATAATGACCAATCAAGGAAAACAGACGCATGCAATTTTCCTCATTCTTGATGCCCTGATCGTTCCCCTTCTTGGAGACCAAGCCTCTGACACATTGTGTGTTCATCTTGTTTATGTGTCGACTGAATGGTCAGGATTGAGTGTGTGCATGTGTCTCTTATGAAGCAGAAAGCTATAAACAAGCTAAAAGGCGTGTCAGGGCATATCCTGATACTCTTTAGACTCCCCCGCTTGTTTCTCATAGCGCAACAGATTCTGGCTAATCTAATAAACACAGGCTGCTCAAGGCTGATATTTGCTGTCACATGCTAGGTCTTTGTTTGCTTTGTGAGCTGCAGTTATCTCCATTGGCATCCACTTATAAAACATGCAGAGATTGGCCATAACATCTGATTCCTGGTGATGCTGTTGTTGTGTAAATATACTCTGTGCTGAACACCTGTTGATTTGTGTCCTATCAGCTGGACCATGGAGCCTATTCCTCATGTAAAAGACAACACACTGCAGACAGCATTCATATACTCTCATGTAAATAAAACACGTGCTTAAGAAAAAGTTCAGCCACAAACATGTTGGGTGTTGCCTTTAATGACAGGGGTTGAAAAGTCCAATGACCACATACCATAAATGACCCTTTACTCCCCGCACAGTCGGAAACCACAGCAAAAGCCTGAACTGCAATTGTGACACTCAGCGGCCCATGACAATAGCATTCAGCCATAATGAGAAACATATGGTGTCAGCAGTGTCTGGCTATGCTCAAATTCATGACAAGCAGGGGTTGTTTGTAGCTGTGTTTATGTGTGTGTGTTTGTGTGTACAATCTTAGCATGTAGATTTGGAAAATGTGGTAAAGGAGTTAGCAGTGTGAGAGTAACATGAGACAGAGGTTTTGGGCTCTAAGTTTAGCATAACCCCCTGTTAGCTCTCTCTCATGCCTGTGTCTGGGAGAGAGATCCCTGCAGGGAGATTCCAACACTGGTGCATAGCGGCATTTGTACAACCATGAAACACACACTGTGCTAGGGATAATTATAAATGTGTTTTTGGATAAATTAGGTTTAAGCTCATGTTCTGGGGTGTTTTATAAAATTCAGAAAAAGGATACATAAATCAGATGGATATGTTTATTTTTCTGCTCTTTGGGAGACTTTAGAAGTATTCACCTACATTATCACACCACTAGTGAACAAAATGAGGAACTGAAATCACTGCATGACAGTGAAGCTCCACTGCCCATGCTGTACCCTGTGGGCTGACAGCAGCTTTATGTGACTAAGTACAAAGTACAGCAGTGTTTGACCTGATACACAGAAGTCTTTAGAGCAGCTATAGACGTATGTTTAAAAAAGTAAAAAGAAGTCTTACCTCTGTGTTGCTTCCAGCTCTCACTTCTCAACTCATTCCTCATGTGCGATGAAGAAAGTGTGTCCTCATATGTATCTCTCAGTGTGTGTATGAGTGTTTTCACTGTTTCACCAGTGAGTTGAATCTCATGACAGCTGCTGAAAATGCCGTCATTCTCCCCTGTCAGCACCAAAAGCACAGGAGAGGAAAAACAGAAAAAGTGTGTAAGCCAGTGAGTGTGTGAGCCTTTGAGCGCTACAGAGGCTTTCCCAGACAGCATGTCACTGACTGAGGAAGTTTTTGCTGCTGTTAACTCCTCCCATTATTTCTTTGGGACAAGGGCACACAGCCTCCCCCTTTTCTCTCTCTCTCTCTCTCTCTATTTCTCCCTCACCCCTTTCCCCACACACACACACTCACACACTCTCTTTCTCTTTGAGCTCATAAGAGGGTTAAACCAGTATAAGGGGGTCAGGTAATAATTACATTTAAATCTATCTTTTAAAAGCTCTAACCCTGGTGTGACACCTCAGCACATTATAAGTCCTGTGTTTCCTCATTCTACAACACCAGTCACACCAGTTTGGTTTGACTGCACCCGCTCTCAGAAGATGACAGGCAGATTAAATGATCAGCTGGTTGGAACAATGCCTGAAAATCCCTCATCTTCATTTTAAAAGCCTTCATAGTCCTGCTCATACACTCACATAGCCGGTATTCCTTGAAGTGTACTTTAAGTGTGAAGTATTTATCGGCATGTGCTATGTGACTATACAAAAACAGGGCACATAATAGTGACCTGTTTATCACTGGCACATTATCACTTTCTGGCTCGTGTCATTTCCTATCCGTTTAAGGGGAGTTTACACTCCTCAGGCCTGTGTTGCTTTGGTTGTTTTTTTTTTGTTGTGCCTGCTTAGTTAAATATAAACTCTGAGACTGATTGTGTATCCCCCAGCCCCCAGTGCACCTTGACAAAGTCACCCTGAACACAGAATATCCACCCTGTGCTGCACATGTGATCATGTGATTTGCTATGCAAGACTGCAGTGTGTGTGTGTGTGTGTGTGTGTGTGTGTGTGTGTGTGTGTGTGTGTCTGTGTGTGTGGTCAGACAAAAGGCCAGAGGGTTACTGAAGAATGCAGCACACGACTGATCCCTCCAAAGATAGTGGACATGTGGCTTTACCGTGATTTACCCCATAAGAAAAACACTGAGTGAAAGATTCAAATGTACAATGGGACAACACATGAAGACTGCAAAAAAAAAAAAAAACACTAAATCATGTCTTCATCATGTGTTCAGCAGTTGGTAAAAAGCAGAACTTGTGATCTGTGTTGTTGTTTAATATCGCTCTGTTTGCTCAAGGAAAAGGAACAACGCGTGATGTCATCGGCGTGAAGGTTTATTCCAGTAATGATAAAGTACATAACAAGGGATGTTTGCTTTTACTGTCGATCAGAGGGCACTGACGCCTTTGCAGTCAGTGACAACAGACTGTTGACCTGACGGCTGCCTGCCCCGCTGCCTACAGTGTATGGGAAGGGCAGCTTCCTGTTTTTCTGCCCCCATCAGTTTGGAGCACAACACGGGGTTGACACAGCAGCACAATCAGCACCCGGCACACTTAAGGCGGACTTGACACCCACCTACATAGTGTCACACCAAAACCACACAAACACACACACATGATAGATACGGTTCATTTAAGTAAATCATTATCCTCCATAACACTGATAGTGATCACATTAAGCTATGACCTGCGGCCGGATCAGTAAAGTATTTAGAGTGTTGTGTTTCATTCACAATTAAAGAAAGATACATTTTTGTCATTGAATATGAAAAATAAAACCTTTTACATGTAAGATTACATTATGATATAAAGTTTCTGTACAGAAGATAGATAAATGAGGTTATTGGGTTCAGACATTATGCTCTCTTTAAGTTTCAATTCCTCATCATTTGAGTAGTTTCTCTGTACTTCTACAAAGCTCTCTTTTGATACTGGGGTTTGTGTAAGGGGGGAAAGTAGATTAAAGGACAAAGAGAGAACATCTTGTACAACCGTTAAGCTTCAGAATTAAAAAGTTAAGACTGTGCGGAGAAGAAGAAGAGGGAGAAATAGAGAGAATATGTGGCGCCTCTTACATCCCACCATTGTCTGGCTTCCTCCAGGCTTCAAGAACCAATGCTTCCTCCGGGCAAGGGACAAGGCAGCCTCTTACTTTAATAAAAACAACAGGACACACCCAGCTCAATAAAAAAACAGCACAAATATACACATATAGTGCAAAGGGTCAATCATAACCAAAATATTATAGAGAGCTCGGTCAGACTCAGCCCTCTAAAGTTGAATGCTAACATATTATCATAAAAGGACTACAGTGTTTTTATTCAATATCCTTCTCTATGCTGGATTTTTTTAAATCACATTTGATCAATCTTATTTGCCTCTAAAGATAATTTCTATGACTGACACTGGAAACAGGAGGGTTAAATGTAGATCTTTCCACATATTTACGTATTAAACTATTGAAAGCAAACAAATAAAATGTGTCAGAGTGCATAGAAGCTCGTCTACCATTCACACAGAGTCAGAGTGATAGAAGCTGTGTGAGCTGTGATGTCTTACTGATTTACTTTACACGCCAATTAATGCAATTACTGTGTTTCTGCAGCTACACACAGCAGGTACCTCTGTCAGCAGATCGACAATTAACCCGTCGCCCTGAACACCAGCTCCACCGTAAATAATCCAATTAACTAATTTGCTTACGTCGACTTTCCAGAAGAGGGCGGTGTCATGACAGTTTTAGCAACAAGCCCAACCAGACACTACAACCAACAAGTCACACGAGTCGTAAATCCTCTCTAGAGACTTTAGATCAAATGCTTTGAATACATTTTTTTTGGTTCCATTAAAGGTTACTGATTCTGATCGGACTATTTGTAGGTCTAAATGACGCTGGCTTGACTTGACTTGAATTCTGAAATTAATTTAAAGCGCGTAACATGTTTAAATTCTCTGTCTCAGCCCTAACCTCGCGTGAAAAGTAGCTGAGGCCGAGAATAGTGACTTTGAAACATTTACCACTTCTTGCAGTGTGATGTAGGCTACAGGGTCCCCTGAGCGTTCACAGCAGCTCACAGTGACGTCGCTTAACCCAGGATGAAAGAGAGAGAGAGAGAGAGAGAGAGAGAGAGAGAGAGAGAGAGAGAGAGAGAGAGAGCGAGCGAGCTGTCAAGTCACCAACAGACAGGAAGAGCAGTACCGGAAGAAACATTGTTAACTTATACTTGGCATGTCTTTACTAATGTTCTTACTGAACATCATTATAGGACATTACAAGGCCAGCTGGTTGGTAACATGTATGTATATATGTAGGCTATAAGAATTATTATATCCTCTGAGTTTTTTCCCTGAGCATCTGCCTACAATCACAATCCTTTAGGCTTACCTTCAACCTTTCACTCGTGTTTTTATTTATTTTTATAAATTATCGGAAGATAATTATACCTAAGGATTTGACACTTTTATAAAAAACAATGGCAAATAATGTTTAGTTATTGTGATATGCGTAAAACATGAAGCCCTTAAAATCGAGGCTATTCGCTTTTAGAGGCTTGGGGAATAAGTGTACTTTAAAGGGGATTTTTTTTTTACATTTATTTAGGGACTCCATAGGTCCCTAATGAATACAATAAGTTAATACGATTTTTCTCAGATATATCAAAATAATGTTTAAATAAAGCCACAACAAAAAAATCCAATTTAAATATATTTAGGCTACCTAGTTAATTAATTGAGGATAATGTATTTGAACAGTTTGAATTGTGAATTCTTAATCACGTCAAATGAGTCCCTGGGAGTAGTGAGATTTGTTCTATTTTATTTTGAAAGTATAGACCGGAACGGGTGTGCTGTTGCTGTGGTGACAGAGTGTTTGAGAGGCGCGCGGTGACAGCAGCAGCAGCACACGGGCAGGGAGAGCGCGAGGGAGCTGGAATCAGCGAGGAGCGAAAATGTGAAGGTGGAATCCGACCGAGCAGCATAAATAAAAACACAACCGGCAATCCTACCGAGCAACACCGGGAGCTTTGTAAGGAATTAAAAAAAAAAAACCCTGGAAATATCCTCACTTTGTATTTTTTCTAGGTTTTTTTTATCTCTATTTCTGGCTCTGTATACCTTGACAGATAATTGACTGGGAGCAGTGTTGCGGAGAGTGAGAAGCATCTTTTATTTTCTCTGGATATTCTTTTTTTTTATGGACACCATTTGGATGGAGTAAAGTGTTCTGTGTGAAGATCTCCTCTCGCTTCATGGGATTGTTCTCGACGAGGGCGTTTTGTTTGAAATAAGAGCTCATTGGGCATCATGAGTTCCATGGTAAGTCCTTTCTTGTGCGCTTCATCCCCACACTTGACGCGCGAAGACAATACTCAAATGAGGTGAAAAGAACAGAGGGATAAGTGAACTACGATACATATAATAGTAGCATGTATCTTTATGAAGTGACTACGACAGTGTCAAGTTAATTTTACTTGATGTTTAACCCATGAAATTTGACTGCAACCCAACTAATCATTGTATAAAAATGTAATGCTTTATTATGAAGTATCTCTAATGTTCATACAGGAGTCAAATGACTGAGAAAGAAGCCTCTGTAAAAAGTGTTAACCTAGCTCTGAGAATTAACTTAAAGGAGGTTTACACAGGATGGATAAGCTAATTATATCTAGAGGTCAAAATAGCATTTGCCCTGAGTTCATCCTTACAGGAGCATTTTTCAGATTCTTCATCCACATAATAACAGCTGTTGTTCAGACATTTCCAAAGTCTGTTTCTCTCCTGTCACTATTCTTCTCCTCGTCTTCATCCTCTACCTTCCACCAAAACCACAACTAGTACTTCTGCCCTCTCCTGGGAGACCACACTTACTCGCAGCTGTCCCCCCCCGCCTGTCCACCTGTCTTCTATACCACGTCTACAGCAGGGGCAGCAGGAAACCCCTCGAGCTGGAGGTTTTGCGCTCTGACCCACAGGGCTGGTCTCGTGGAGTTTAGTTCAGTGTGATGCAGCACATGACAAACAAGTCTGACAGCCTGAGGGCTTGTGTCATACTTACAGTAGACTCAGGGCTCAGGGGCTGCTATGATGCTAAGCTGACCTTGTGTCAGCTGACTGTGACCCTGATCCTGTGTCAGCTGAATCAGAGCTTTTCCTTTGGGGCCTGCCGGATCAGCTGTGGGTGTGCATGTGAGCTTGCGTGTGCCTTAGATTTGTTTACAAGATAATACTGGTTGCTTAACCATGAAGACCACTTCAACAACAACGACAACAAAAAAATTCCCATCATTCCCTCAGCTGTCAGTGAGGCCTGTTGAAGTTGACGTGCACCACGTGCTCTTTGAACTAGGAGGTGTCATTTGCTCCTGTCCTCCTTCCCCCTGTCCTCCATGTCTACATAAGGAACCGGTGATTACTGCATCATTCATAATCCGGCCTGTCATTGTGTGGCACTACATTATTCATCCACTGCTTTTAACCCTCTGGTACCGAACCTCTCCTGAATGCCAGATCCAGATCCAGATCCAGATCCAGATCCAGATCCAGATCCAGATCCAGATCCAGATCCAGGGCTGTGCTGTGCTGTGCTGTGCTGTGCCATGCTTGCCGGGAATGGTGTTGTAGCTGCTCGCTTACAGAGAAATTAGTAGAATTCTTTTTGTTAAGCTTGGAAATGCCTCTTTCTCAGGTGACAGGGAGGGGGGGAGCACATGGGAGCAGCATGCGGAGAGCTGTCACAATCCTTTTGTGATTTTATAAAGCATGTGGTCAAACAGGAGTGAGCACAAACATACACGTCGACAACATGTCAACCTGTGGTTTGCATGTGAGAGAACCTGTGAGTGCATTTAAACATGTGCATGTGTGTGTGCATGTGTGTGTTCGTGTGCATGTGTGTGTGTGTGTGTCACAGCAGGCAGATGGTGGTGTGACATGTGTCAGTAGTCTGGCTGTAGGCATAAAAACACAGCTGGCTTTAGAGCTGAGGAAAGGTTGTCTCCTCTCCTCCTCATCCTCTCATCCCTCCAGTCAGTCAAACATATGCTCCCCTCCTCTCTCAACACTCTCAAGGTTCAGGACATGAATGGGCCTGTGAGGCTGGGCTGTGCACACTGTTTTCCGCTGCATTGGGTGTGATAGCCCAGAGGCCAGCCGCACACTCGGAGTAATTACACACAGCTCTGACTGTCTGTCCTGATCTTCTGGGCCTTATATCTCTCATGGTCACTGGGTTTTGTGTGTGTGTGTGTGTGTGTGTGTGTGTGTGTGTGTGTGTCTTCATGTAAGTATGTGTGTGGGCAGACTCCTATTTTCTGCCTGGCTGGCAGACGAGTTAGGACTGCGGGTGCAGCAGGTTAGATGCTTGTGGAAAGGACCTTGAAATTTGTTTCTAAAGAGATATATATATATATATATATAGTATATTCCCTCTCAGAAAAAACTGAGAAATGAGAGTATTCCTCAAGCTCAAAGAGTCAGTTTTACAAAATGTTCCTCCTAACTGAAACATCAGGACGTTTCTGAGATAGAGTGTTCACAGAGTGTGTGTGTTTCCATGTTGATCAATATACTGATCATTGAGCTCAGGGACCTAAGGGATCTGCAGAGCCATACATCACACACCTCTCCCCAACTCGCTCTTTCTCTCTGTATGGCAGTGAGTTCTCAAGTATCAGACAAACACATCCTCAGGGTGTCTTAACTTTAAATAAAAGATATGCAGCTTCACAAGATGCAACCTAAAATAAAGACATGTGATTTATGACATATGATCAATTTGTTCTGGCCACTGCCAATGAATAGAAATCCTTGCTGAAAGTTCACCTCTTTGTTCCAGGCTGATATATGATAACAGGTGGTTATATTTCTATGAAATTTGCCAGTACAATTGCAAATATGTTGCAAGATGATTCAACTATACAGGTTCATTTTAATCTGCAATCTCTGTATGAAGTCTAAAAACATTCAAACAAAGCGTAAAAACATAAAGATATGCAACAACCCATCAATGACTAATACGGATTAGCAAATGTAAAGCTGAGGCAAAGCTAGTACGGTTGCTTTCTACATATCAGCATGTTAATTCTGTCTGTGTGAGCATGTCATCATTTACCCAAGTGCTTTTAAAGATTTATTTTTTTGGGCTTTTCGTGCCTTTAATGCAGAGAGAGGACTGTGGACAGAGCTGGAAACCAGGGAGAGAGAGTGGGGAATGACATGTGGAAAGGGGCCATGGGTGGAAGTGAACCTGGACCTACTGCTTGAGACGAGAGCCTCAACACATGGGACGCATGCCCTAACCATTGCGCCACCAGCGCACCCCACCCAAGTGCTTTTAAAAGATGAAACCTTATGTACATTATTGAGTTGCAATAGGTGTTCGGAGATGTGTCCAAAGCAATGCGAGAGAATCAAGTGGATTTGACCACTTTTGATAAGGAATTCCAATTAGAGTCAGAAAGGTCTTGAAACAGAGTGATTTGCTTTACAGGACATTTTGTGTGCATGCCTGTGAGCTTTGGGATTTGGAGCCGACTGGCAATATCTTAAACGGAACCTTTAATAATTATTTAAAAGTCTACTTTAAAGTGTTGGCAGTAATACAACAACATTTAAAAAATATATACCAATTGTCTTCCAGGAAGAATGCACACAATTAGTACAATATTGGTCGTGACCAAGTGGAAACCTTCGCGTTAAAAAATGTAGCCAATGAGGTAGTGCAAAAATCTGCAGTGTCCACTTGAGGCTCGCTGCAAAAGTCCCAGAAGTCACATACTCAACATATGTAAAATTCCCATTTGTACACCTCAGCTCCTCTTCTTTGTCTGAAAACTGGTTTTGGACAGCATTTTCAACATCAACAACAACCACAGTGGTTTGGCTTCAAAATTCACCTTCAGTAACAAATGCTTGACTTCTTTGAGACTGCGTCCATAATTTATAGAGTCTGTGGTCTGGACCACAGTGTATGAAAAGAGATAATCCAATCACCTTCTGGGACTGTTTCCTCGTTATTTCTTTAGAAGGGAAATACACAACACTCTACCAGATTACATGATGGATATTTTCTTGACATGTGTTTTTATTTTATTTT